TACACATCACACAAACATGAAACATGTGACTGTAGAAATCAAGCACTGTAACACTGAACATGTTTGTATTCACCAACACAGAATAGAGTTTTGCTTTTTATTTCCTCCAACAGGTGGCAGTTTCCTCATCAGTTACAATATGTTCCTTCCAGTTTGGTCTGATCAGAAGCTTCTCTGTAAATGTCCACCACATGTGAAATGTCCTGGTCTCTCCACTGACCCTGTCACTGTCGTTGCTCTCTGTGTTTATTGTTACTGGTCTGTGAGGGGCCAACGCTGAATGATGATGACAGGCCATATATGCAGAGGAGGACATGTTAAAACAACCACATGGATTCTGATCTGACCATTCTGACAGCGCTCGCACAGTCAGAATTCGAAGAAGAATCGGGTCTAGGAGCACATATGCAGGTGGCCCAGATCTGGTCTGAGACCATCTGGTTTGGTGTGTTAACACTGCTGTGGACACATCAGGTCTGGGACACTTCAGCTATGATGTGCACATAGCTGACATGACACAGGTCAGTGTACAGACTGTACTGTACACAGAGAAAAAGGAGCTCAGATAAACATCTAAATGAACAAACTAGAAACCCATTTTGCCTTTATTTGTGAAGTTGAATTTGCAAGTATTGTATCATTTCCTGTTACAAGGTTTACCTATACACTGTAGCCTATGTACTGTATGTACTACAGCAGTTGAGTCATGGCCATTTATAGGTGTAGGCCTAATTAATTTTATTATTATTGTTGTAAAGATATGACTCACAGTCCGTTCTGAGTGGACATTAAAGGATCGGTGCGCTCATGTTCACCTGAGTGTTTCCTGGAGGTTGAGGGGTGCAACTAGGTGAGTCCAGGTCTAAGTCATTCAGATGAATGCATGTTCACAGCTTCAACAAACCACAAGGTCGATAACACATTGACTGTTGCTGACATAGAAGCTGTGTTCCATTTGGCCATGCTGGCATGCCGCGTGTTAAGTAGTGTTATTAAAATGAACAGACTCCAAGCCCAAACAGCAAGAACAGCACTGTGCTGCTTGGGGTTTGGCACACCCATTGAAGACACGTGTGGCGTATTTCAGACCCATACAGAGCAACCCTGCAAAAACCCCAGACTATTTACATTCTCTCCACTCTCCACTGTATGTGTTTTTTCTGTGTGTGTAGTCAATGACATCATCTAAAAAAGGTCAGGCCATTGTAAAGGAATAAAAACACATGCAGTAGTATATACTGACTTTGGTGAGGACACCTTTGCAGTATATTCCTCCATCTCCCATCACCTCAACAGCTGCAATCAAATTCATCAAGCTTCTAAAAGTAATAAACTGCAACTTTCATAAACACAGAAACAGTGACTATCACATTTTACAGATTAACTTTAAAAAAATGCATTGGTTTCTGATCAAAGTGACCGCTTTTTTTTTTTCCAAATGACTGCTGGCTGAATGAATAAGGCACCAGGATTAATCAAACCTGGCTGTTAACTTGGCATGGAGCAGGTTAGCTCCACAGAATACATATACATAATAACTTATTTTTTCATAATTTAACCTGCTTTTAAGCAAGCGGGGTCAGGGCTAAATTCAGCCCGGATAACTGGAAAATCTCGGCTTAATCCCTGAACTCGGTTTTGTGCAATGCCACCAGGAGAGTTACAGGACATATGACAGTGTTGTGTGCGATGATAAATCTGTGTAATGCTCCTTTATCACCTCTTCAGTTTCAGCACCGCGGACAGAACCTCTGCAGGAGCCCCGCCCCTCAGTATGCGTCACAGAGAGAGAAACAGGTGGTGGTACAGAGAGAGAGAGACAGACAGACAGGTGGAGACAGACGGGTGGAGGAGATAGAAGGTACTGCAGACACGTTCCTGTTGTTTCTTCATGGAGGATTTTTATTTTTAACGGTGTCCGGACACAGACCACAGCTCTTCCTCCTCCTCCTCCTCCTCCTCAGCTGCCGCAGAGAGGCTCGCGCCGGTCCGTCCGGGTGTCGTCATGGGAACGGTGTTGTCTCTGTCTCCAGGCTCGCGGAAACCCGCGGCTCGGGGGCAGGGGAAGGTTGTGAAGCTCGCAGTGCAGGAGGAGGGGAAGGGCGGGCAGAAGAAGCAGCAGTACCCAGTGTTGTTGCAGGCGCTCAGCTGGAAAAAGCGCATCGTGGCCGCGCGAGCAAAGAGGAAGGGCGGGAAGAAGGTAAAACCCGTGGTGTCAGAGCCTGGGCAAGTGCAGCGGCAGCAGGGGGAGTCGCCATAGAGCGCTGAAGGCCGGACACAGACACGGACTTATCCCGGTGCCCGTACCCACCGTCCCGGCGCCCACTGAGAAGCAGAAGAAGGGCAGGGACCTGATCATCTCCCCGCGGAGGGTGGTGGTGCAGGTCGGTATTTTAAATAGAAAATAACGATTCAGATAAAAAAAACTTTTCAAAATCTCTAACAGATATAAGCTGTGTCTAATAAAAGAACAAAGAGATTAAACCAATGAAAGTAAAAAAGCGGTTCTTTTTAAACATACATATTTTTAAAAAATTTGTATAGGCTAATTTAGAAATGGTCACAATAATTATGAATAAAGACAAATCACAATCTTTCATCAATAGGCCTACAGACTCAAGACTGATCTATAACATGAAGAAAATGTAATTTATTTGTAATATGGATCATACCAGGATTTTTGAACACAAACTCTTACATTTATATTGTCATGAAGGTTAAGGGTGGGAATCTGGCAGACTCACGATTTAATTCAAAACTATATTCGATTCATTTTTCTAAAGGGCACCATATTTTGGCTCCTACTCCAGTTTACTGTGTATCATACAACTGATATCTCTCCTGTGCCTACTCAGCTGCTAATGAAGTTTAACAGTCAAGCTAACTGGTTCTGATGAGCATACTTTACATACTGCTATCCAGCAGTATAGAAAGCACTCAAAGTTATAAGTATATAAAGTTAAAAATTAGCTCCACCTTTACCAGCTGCCATATCGAATGTTATGAATGCATCAATAATTATAATCCCATAATTTAAATGTGTCAGTCTGCATAATGAGTACTTTTACTTTTGGTAACATTACTATAGGTTATATTTCTTTGTGCTTTTATTTAAATAATATTTTGAATGCAGGACTTTTACTTAGAATATTCTCACACGGTGGTGCAGCTACTTTTACTTCAGTAAACAGTCTGACTACTCTGCTTCTTCCACTGCTGGTTTTAAAGGGCAGATGGGAGAACAAAGCAGAGGACTTGGTTGTGTTGTTGCTGTTAACGTTACGTCTGTAGCAGTGGAGAACAGCCAGTGCTGTTCACTGCTGTTTTTTGTTCCATCAACATTAGATTGATTTTTAGTTTTTTGAATTGATATAGAATCATAGAAACTATAAATCGAGATTCTAATGTGAATTGATTTCTTTCTCCCACCCCTAATTTATAATTATATAGCAACACCATTAGAACAGATTTCTTTTCACTTTCTTGTGATGCAGAAAAGTGTCTTAAATTTGCATTTTCATTAATATGTTCACTGCAAATACATAATGTAATTAAAGCAACAAATAGGCCTATATGTCATTAAAACCTGATGGGCAAGTGTTTGACACTTGTAAAAAGTGTTTGACAAACACTGGTGAAACATCAAGCTATCAAAATAACTAGAGGTTGACGGTTGAATGAAATTTGTTAGGATGCTGTCAGTTGTATAAACCTTCCTCCCCTGTGTCCTTGTCCTTTCCACCGCAGGCGTCCACAGGCGAACTCCTTCGTTGCCTTTCTGAGTTCTTGTGTTGCCGTTGTGTCAAAGTGAAGGAGCTGTCATGCAGTCAGATCATCCTCTGGTTTAGAAATGTTGACCGGGTCTTGCTGGTTCAGGGCTGGCAGGCAAGTGTTTGTGTTTTTTGTCATTTATAAAAATGGTTGCTGTCAGCAGTAAGACTTCTGTGGCTAGTCCACCTTGTGTACTTTCTCTGTAGCATTAGTCATTGGCAGAGCCCAGGGGCGGCACTGCCCCCTCCCCCTGAAATCTGGTTGGCCATCCCTGGTACCACTCCTGCCAGAGTCTAAATGTGATGATTGTCAGTATTAATGAATGAAAAATGAAAATCAATTACATATTTTTCTCTTAAATTCAACTAACATTTTTGTGGTGCTTTATAATTTATATTGGTTAATTAGTTTTATTTGGTATCATGTATGTAGCATAATATTTGTATTCATTTCTCCAATTGTGTTGTTGTGGAATATTTGGCTTGATTAAGCTCAGGGGGGACCACTGTGCAGCAGTCATGTCCCCACCCTGGAGTAAATAAGCATAGCCAGTTAGCTAAAGAAAGTACTCTCATTTTTACACAAAATGAGCTATTTGTATGCTTTATTATTTCATAGAACTAGGGGTTTAAATGACTTTTTCTGGACATTTATTGTTTTGTAGTATTACTACTGTTTTCTGTCCTTTATCTGTAGTGAAACTTGTCCTGTCCCTTTGCAGGACCAGTGTTTCATCAGTCCTACCAGTCTAGTCTTTGTGTACCTGCTGTGCAGGGAGGCTGTGGTTGAGGACACATCTTCAGAGCAGGAGCTCCATGCCACCTTCCTCACCTGTCTCTACCTGGCCTATTCCTACCTGGGCAATGAGATCTCATACCCCCTCAAGCCTTTTCTTGTGGAATCCAGCCGTGATGCGTTCTGGGAGCGAGCGCTGGAGCTCATCAACCGTCTAAGCACTGACATGCTGCGAATCAATGCCGACCCACATTTTTTCACTGAGGTGTTTCAGGACCTAAAGAACCAGGGAGGAGAGAAGGAGACAGAAAAGGACAAAGAGGATAAAAAAGAGAAAATGGAGGAACAGGCAGATGACAAGAAGGAAAAAGGAAACAGGAGTGAAGATCTAGATCGTTAACTGACCACAGTGTTCGTAATGTGACTCGGCAGCCGTCAACCTGCTCAGGTCTGAATGTAACATGGCTGCACCTGCAGATTTGCTATCATCAACATGGCGATTGATGGGAAGCCAGATGATCAGTTGGTTGACTCTGACCCCCTGCTGAAGAGAGACTCACTTTAATTGCATGCTGCTAATTAAAGCCAACAGTATCTTCTGATTGTATTGGATGTGGATGAGTTGCCATGGCAATCTTATAAACATATCGAGCCTTATTTTGTTTATTCGCACACCTGCAGATGCTTAATGTGTCAGTCAGTGCTGCAGGAAGGTGTTTATGTATTACATGGTGGTGTTTCATTGGCATCAGAGACAGAAAACATCTAGAAACTGTCAGAATCTCAAAAAAGTGATAACATGAAAGGTGCCTTTTAGGGAGCCAATTAGAAACTAACAGTAACCACCAAAATGTTTTTATTTTCTGTGATGTTTAACACCAAACGTATGAGTGAACATTTTATGAGGTCAAATGTGGACACAAGTGTGTGTGAGGTCATTGGTCAGTCATGTCCCCACTGTGTTTTATAAACCTCCAGATTAATCGCTGGACATTAGGACAAACACAGTCACATTTATGTTCTGGTGGTCAGTTGTGGGACAGATATTTATGTTCAGGTTTCATGTGCTGTACAGTATTTCACAGGCTGTTCAAACAACAGAAACTCTGCATTTGCATCAGACAGTGAAGGAGACTGACCCCAAACCAGCTCCTGTAGATTGAAACGTGTTTATCTAAACACATCCAGTGTTGTAAATGAGCTGCTGCTTTCCTTTCTGATTCTGGATTTCTTATCATGTATTTTGATCAGGTTTAGTTCCAGGAACTTGTCATCTTCTACTTGAACTTACCAACAGAACTTGGAGCTGTTGCGGTCTGCTGAAGAAGACTGCACTGTGGGGGAGTTGAAGTTGTCATGCATTGGAGGGGGCAAGTATGTGCCGTACTCATCCAAAACATATAACATCAGTAGTTACTGTTTCCTTTGCAGTGTCAATTTCACTTGTCTGTGCTCATTTTCAAGGATCCTTTTTATAATAAAGAATGAGGGTGAGCAAAAATTGGATGAAATACAACATCTCTCCTGCTATTGCACTTTTAATAAGGCACCTCTGAAGGTGTCACCTTTTCAGTGATGCACATCTGATTATTCCTGGGTTGTAAAATATAGGGGAACAGCAAAGCAGAACTGACCTTTGGCCTACAGGTTCTACAGGGTTCTGGTTATCGGAAGCTCTCGATTATGGTCAGTTTGTTAAATGAAAAAGGATCATTATTTCAGGAGACTAGCCAGAGGCCTCCAGGACATAATCATCCACTATTAGAAATGACCAGTTACCCAACATTATATTGAGCATTGATTGCAGATTGAAGCGGCAGCTGTCTTCTCATTTGGTGTGTTTGTCTTTGACTTTATGTAGCAGTGACACAATGTTGTAATGTCGATGTGATGTGATGTGAGTGCTGATGTGAGTTTGATGTTTTCCGTCTCTGCTGTCTGAAGCTTGAATGTAAAATCATCAGGTTAAACTGATCTGTGCCATTGTTTTTAAGCAGACATTAAACCACTGACATAAATTACACAAGTCATCTGAGAGCCTGTCACCTCTTATGTCCTCTTTTCACTGTCACCTTATTCATTTTACTGGTTTATACTGGCCTCCATTCTACAGTGTTCTGGTCTTCCATGCAAAGAATATAAAAGCAAAGAACAGTAACAACACATTCAGTCAGAAGTGAAAGTTCTGATCATTCAAATCAGTCTGTCCAGTCTTTAAAAGTTCCATCCCAGTCTGATCAGTGCAGCATTGTCGGTAGGATCAGACACAGCTTTTAAATTCCAGATGTTGTACAGCAGCTGTGTCACTGCAGTGAGTCATCGCTGCATCATTGCACAAGTTTATGTGAATAGAGGGGAGGTCACATGATGCATCTGTGCTTGCTACTGATTGGTCAGGTTTTGCTGCAGAGTGACACCAGGAGAGAGAGACAGAGGGATATGAAAAATTAAATGTATGAAAATGCCCCAGAAAGAGAGGAGAAGAGAGATAAAAGTACCCAGGATAAAAAAATGAGAAACCAGAAAAGATGCAAACTCTTCATGATGTACAGCAAGCACAACAGTGAAGTAAAAAATATAATTTGTAGACAACAAAGGGTTAAAAAACAGGTGGTAGGAAGTTTGTTTAGAGTAAGAAATTATTCAGACACTTAGGTACTCCAACAATAGTCCAAATTAAAGTATTACTGAGACTGACTTCTGTGATTTCTCACCTGACATGGATGTGGACTCGCATTTAATCCTAAACTGTAAGAATTTAAGGAAAGGCAAGTTTTTTTATATAGCACATTTTCATACACAAGGCAAAGTCAAAATGCTTAACACAATGCACACATATACAACATTAAAATGCATACATAGATAAGATACAGAAACAAGTGGCTGTATCAATCTTCTAAGAGCACACTGTATGTAACTGCTGGTTACCTCATGTGTATGCACTTATTCTTGATAGGACATTCAAATTGTATTTGGACAACATTCAACAGTGTGACCTGGTTATCTGCAGTACAGATGTACAATATGTGGTGGGCAAGGGCACATAACTACACGTAGACATGTGGAGTTACACCATACCAAACTCCTACCCTTAATCCACCTCTGCTGACACCCTATTCACCTTGTAGGATTTCCTGTGTGCTAAAATCCTAATGACAAATGTGTCACTGACTGATGTTCACCTGTTTGTCTCTCTTTCTATGACCTGTCTGCCCCAAGTCAGTGTTAAACAGAAGTACTTGTAGATCAGGTTCAGAGGCTGTCTAAGGAATGGCCACCTCACTCAGTGTGACCTGAGTGATATAAAATCATTACACTGTGTTACAATTTCAGTCTCATAGCTGTCTCTACACTGTGTTCTCTATGGTTCCTTTGGACTTTTCTAGAAACTGTCATTTCTCATCAAGCCTCCAGGTCTCCCCAGTTTTATTATTAATCATACAATTCCAACTTCAAACTCAGAATTTTGATTTTTTTTCTCAGAATTCCGACTTTAATCACAGAATTCCGACTTTTTTCTCAGAATTTTTACTTTAATCTCAGAATTCCGACTTTAAAATCAGAATTCTGAATTTAAACTCAGAAGTATGGGTAAGGATCCAAGTTTGGTGAGTGACGGAGTGCCTTCGAATCACGCTGGAGCTACGTGCTCCCAAAAAATGTTGGATTTATGTGAGTTTTTGCGTGGTCGAGGAGTCCCAGACGAAGCTATTTCAGTAATGGAAGAGGAAAAGACAGATGTTAACACAGATACGTTACTTTGGTGTCTGGCATTTGTAAATATGCAGAAAATGCTATGGATATGAAGAAAAGTAAATGCAGACACAGGTTAGCTAGCATCACGTTTGGTAGCTAACAGTGCAAACTGACATTGTGCATCTAACAGTGTTAGATGTTAGTGGTTCAAGTACAGTGTTTCAGCAATCTTGACTAGATAGCCAGCTACCGATAATTGGGTGCCCAGAGGCCCAGTGGTTATTTTCTTGAGCTGACGCTGTCCACGGTGTTCCACCTCTTGGGACTGCAACGTAATGTTACTGGTGTTACTGCAGGGAGTATGGACATAGTCAGTTTTACCTGTCGACAGGGGAGTAGAACAACAGGATGAGATTGGTAATGTAATAGCGTATTAACAATTTTAATGGCTGGGCGGCACGTACATTTTATTTATGTATCATTTCAGATTCCAGTTGCTGTGCAAAGTATTTCTTAGAATTACAAACACCATGCTGTAGGATACTGCCCTGAAAAGCGGCGCAGGTTGACATTACAGTCTGCTCTGTTCAAGCAGGGTGTAAACCTTGAGACTTTTCCATCAAAATATATTCACCCACAAGGGTAAATTTGAATATTGCAACAAAGAAATAGTGGGAATAAGCAAAAGGAAATGCATACAAACACAATTAGAATTTAAATTAGGTCAAGGTCAAGGTCAAAGTGTTTGTCATATGCACAGTTAGGAAACGTGTTTCCCTGTACAATGAAATTCTTACTTTGCCGTCCACATGAATGCCACACAATGCAAGTGAAATATAAAGTAGATGAGCAATAACACAAATCTACATAGGCAGTAAAATCACAAATCTAAGGCACTTTAAAGCAGCAAGTGAAAGAAGCAAATAAAAATACAGTACAAGAACACAATGTAATGCATAGAGAATATATGCTACGTGGGAGCCGTGAAGTGCAAATTTTCATATTAAGCAATAAAAAGAGTGTGACATAACTGGAGACATTACATGATTTCATCTCTGTCTAAATATGTGCACAGGCATTTCACTCACTAGAATCTATTAGCCTGTCAATTTGTTGTTTGAACCATAAACAGGACAGTGTTTAGGTTAAAGTTGTATTTTAAAATGATTTAGCCATTTAGCTCCATTCACCCTCGTTCTCTCAGTTCTGGCAGGTCTAGTATATTAGCCACAAGTTTCAGTTGGATTAATACAGAAGCATTACCTACTTTTAAAGGATCTAGAAAGCAGTAAAATAAATAATATCAGTTTTGATTGCAGGCAACATTGACCCGTGAGTGAATGTGAAAACTCCCTGGCTTTTTTATTTTATTTTTTATATGGCAGAATGATCCAGTTATTAAAAAACTAAATTAATTAAATTCATTTAAATAAACTGCATATTTTTTGGTTCCATTATTGGACTGACTCCTGCATACAAAGCTTTCTGGCAAATTTAGATATGTGTTTTCCTACTGACACTAGTACTGACTTAAAGGGCTTAACCTTAACATTATTTAAGCCATGTGACTTTTCTTTCTTCTTCTGTGCAGATTGACAGTGATGTCATCATGCTGATGGATGATGTAACTCTGGCAAATTACATCCCCTCCTATGGAGACCGAATTGCCCTCTTCATAGCTCCATGTGGAATGTGAAGTCTCTTCACTTTCTCTTCAAAATCATACATTTCAAAGGCCTTGCTCTACTTAGCAGGATCTTGGTGTATTTTAGGTAGCATATAAAATAATCTTTCTCTGTATTCAATTAATACATTTATTTTCTTGTAGTTTTTTTAAACAATTTTTCCACCAGTGGGATGGTATCAAGATAGATGGGTCTGTCCAGTTTAGAATAATAAGTCTTGTCATTAAGCTGTCTGTATCCTTCCCATAGATATTGTTCTCTATCCATGATTACCACTGCACCGCCCTTATCTGCAGGCTTTATAATATGTTTGTTTTCCCTCAGTTCTTTTAGGGCCCGGACCTCCTCCATCTGGTCCAGCATATATGAAAATCCCCATGAAGAGTCCATATCAGCCTTGATAAGGTCAGTGATTACTGGTGCTATGCTGCCATCTAGTGGAGTTCAATCAGACTTCAGGGTGAATGGTGGTGGTTCATCATTTTGTTCATTTTGAAAATAAGCAGCTAATTTGAGCCTCCTATGGTATCGCTGTATATCCCATTCAGTTCGTTCCCCGATGTTTAAATTAATTCCCTTAGTAGGGATAAACATTAGGCCCCTGTTAAGTAGTGTAGATTGGGGATAGGTCAGTTTGAATTTTTAGACAATACTATGACATTTTTAATTCCTCTCCTGGACTGGCAGGCTTATAGGGATGTTGATTTTACATGTTCACCAGTCTTGTAACATGATGAACTGTGGGCTGCGTCCAGTGAATTTTATCCACCTCAGCCCTAAATCTTGTCACTAGGAGCTGTGGGATGAATTTGTAATCATTTTTCATGATGTATCTATTTAGTGTTGAGAGGTTGGTCTGTTCCTTCAGAGGCAGAGCTTTTGAGTAGTTAATCAGGGGGATCCAAATTTCTGCTTGGGGGAACTTCAGTTTAGTAGCCCTGACTCCTGCCTGGAACTGCTTGGTCGTGGTGTTTTTGACCGTCTGAGCCCGGTTGTTCAGGCCAAAAGCCACAATGACCAGCTCCACTGTAGCAGAGCAGGTGGCCTTAGCTGTTATGGCTTCACCATGTCTGAATGTAGCTACCGGGGAGCTATCAATTTACAGGTCAGGTATCTGAAATGGTGGAAACCTGGCTGCATTTGAGTCCCCTATAATAAGCTTTTTTTGCCAACAATCAGCCCCCAGTCCTGCATCTTCCTGTTGGTGTTAAGGTGCCTGGTGGGTCTGTGTGTTGGTGTTTGTGGTGCGAGTGGTGTGGGCTTTACAGGCGGTGGTGGCTGGCTCCCCACACTCAGCCTGCTTTGTACCGCTTTCTTGAGTTTGTCTTTGAATGGTGGTGCTGACTCAGTCCCCCCTGATTGAGTCAGCACAGTGTCTAGTTCCTCTAAAGGGAGATCCATAATCTGATCTTGTGTGTGACTGACACAAGGGTTGCGCATGGGAGATCTGACAGGGGGAGGCTGAGCTCTAGTATGTGTGGTCAGGTCTCTTTTGGGCCTTTGAGTTTTAGGGGAGATGGATTGTGGGGTTACGTTGGTGACAAAGGTAGGAATTGAAGGGGTAAGATCCCTCTCCCTTTCCTCTATCTGCGGTGACCAATCTCACTTCTGATCTGTCATTGTGGTCATGGTCATAGTTGTCACCAGTCTGGCTAATGGGGCTAGTAGTGGCTGTATGCTGGTTGTGCTTGTGTTGGGGTTCAGGGCCTCTGGGACAGTCTGCGTAGGTGCCACCCTGTTCTGTGTGGAGTGCACCTGTGCTGTTACAGTAATCAGCTGTCCCCCCATCTGTCCAGTTTCAGTCATGTCCTCGCCCTGTGGTTTGGGCTGACTGATCTTATCCCCCACCCTGTCTGGTAGCGTATGGTCAGACAAACTGACCAAAAGGACGGCTTCATTTTAATAATGGTATGTATTCCCCTCACTTTCAATCCAAAGTCAGGGTCCTCTGATTTTGGGGTTTGTTTGTCTTTACCAGTGTATGTCTGTCTGGTGTTGTTGTGGTGTCTGTAGTGCTTCTTGTACATGTAGTTTTGTTTAGTGCATTGATTTTTGTTATTATTTCCAGATCTAGAGTGGATCTGGCATTCAAAAAATTGTGGCTTGTAGCCTGGCTCCCGAATGTGGCGTCGGGAATAATTTCCCTTGGATGTGTCAGTTCTAGTAATTGAGGTGTATGAGTGTCGGTTATCATATTTTTGATGCTGAATGCAGGAGGATTTACTTGGTGGATCAGCATAGCTCTGCCGATTCAGCATCCATGGCGATAGCTGACCACCGTCCAACCGTCTTCCCTTTCTCTGTTCAACACATTGGAGCCGCTACAGTAAGCCTTCAGAGCCTTGCTATCAGAGGGAACATCACTACCATGTTGTTTCCTCAGTTTATGTTCTGGGTTTTATGAGTGCCATTGAGTTCTTTTACCTAGCTCCCTGAGTGACTGTTTAATTAAGTCTTCGATGTTTTTTGTTATTCTGTGTCAGTTTGAGATTCTCCATTTTTTCCCCTTTGTCCCTCTGTTCCTTATTTTATTTAAGACTATTAAGAACTTTGTCCATGTCTGTGTCTGCATTTTGGGTCCGTCCCGTACTCAAGTCCTGACACATAGATATCCTAACATTTTGTAAAAAACTAAAATGATGATTTGAATTTTAGCATAATTTGGTTTTATTTAAAAGTTATTTAAACTGTCCATGTATGTGGATGCCCTTTAACAAAGATTTAAAGGCAGCTAAAGCCACAGCTGACAATAAGGAATATCATGTCCTTTTTTTTAGGCTGACTATTCACAAACGTGGAGACCATCCATGAAAAAGGTTATGAAGGCTTCTTTGTAATGAAAGTTCGGTGGTGACCTATTTAAAGCAGTTGTACAGAATTCACTCAGTTCTTGTGTTTTATATATTTATGTAATATAATTCATTAAAAACACAATAACATACTCTTTAAAAAAAATTTTTTAAATAAATTGTCAGATACAAAAACCTAAGTGAATTACACTTAACACAGGGCTATCTTTGCCCTAGAATGATTCTCCTTTTAGTTTTCCTGAATTTGCCACTGACTCATCATTATTTTATTAGGAAACTTAAAAATGAAAGCCAGACACACCAGCTATTCCACTGCCTCTGGTGATGTGAACCTTCTGTTTAAATGGGCTGTTTTTGACAGTGGGACATGAGAAGGGATTTTCAGCTGTGTGCTCTGACTGCTTCAGATACACAACAGCTATCTGCATTAGTCCTGACACACAAATGCACATGGCAGCAAGATGATGCTGGTGTGTGCTGAGTGTTCCTCCCACACACCTATGTGCACGCACACACACAGGAGAGGAAGAGAAAATATATTTTGTATGTTGTTCTATGGTGCGACCTCGTTTTCTGTCTCTATCACACACACCTACACGCACAACTTTTGCTGTAGAATATCAGATGTGAAGTTCAGAGGCTGATTTCAGTTCA